CCTACACAAACACAACAATGCAACATAATACAATATTATTCCGTAATCGGCGTCGTAGCTGCAGACGGCGCGGGCGCATGGTCGAGTTTAGAGCTTAAAATAGACAATAGTTTATTATTTGATATTATTATTTTTACATGACAACTATTTTAAGATTTTGTAAATACAATTATATAACCATGTAATATACTAATATGAATTACAAATTACAATATTACACACATGTATGACATCAATGTTTAGGGCGTTAACACACAACTTGCACACCCAGAGAAAACGCCACTGACCACCGCCTACAAAGTGTTCGTCAAACGATGTCCCAGGAGTTCATGCTCGGCAGCTTCCAAGGAAATCCTATGGTGCAGCGACCAAAACGGTAACCTCTTCCATGGAATCCATCTCAAATGTTTTATCAGAATTTATTTCTAATTTTAACTCTTTAATTACTCCACTAACTAATCTCCTTACCGAGATTGTCAACAAACGTTTCTGTCCATAGACCAGTGGATATTTTTAGGAATTATCACTGGGAGACATTGAAAAAAAAAAATTTCCCTCAACATAGGTATTATGAGCTTATAAAAAACTTTTCGGTATTAATTATATTAATTAATAAATAATAATTTATAATTATAGTTATTATATTGGTTATTCATAGAAATGTACAGAATATTAATAATATTACACCAATACCATTGATTATAAATACTACTATTTTTACTAATAGTATTTATAACCAATGGTAATACGTTATACGTATTATATTATGCAAGTATATAGGTATATTTCATTTAGGATTATTGTATTTTGTAATATATTATCATTATTGAGAATAAGTACGACTGTATTTAGTTTATAAATAGATTTTATTAGATTTTAAATTATTTTATACTTAGATACCGAAAATTACGAAAGTCGTGTTGTCGTCGTAATTACGTAGGTAACCTGGTACCTTGAAGGCTTGAACGTTTGAAAGGCGGGTTTCCACAATACACGTACGCGTTCACGTGCATACAAATCCTTTGCTGTGATTGGTTGGTTATGTTAAGTTACCACACGATTAACCACGATACCGTGTAGTTGGACATAGATGAACATTTTTTGTGTACACGGCAAACGTGTATAGTGGAAACCCGCCTTTAAACTGTTTAAAGGTTCAGAGGGAAATAAATAAATAATTATTTCGCTAATATCTTGTAGAAACAAGTAGGTAGCCAGGTAGGTAAGGTACTAAAATAAAATCAAAAACAATCAATTTGTATAGATAATAGATATTTGCCGGGACGACTGACGACCAGATGAAACATGTCGGGCGCGCTTTCTTGCATTGTATTATTGTATGGATACCTACGGGCTACGGTGAACGGTCACATGGGTTTTTCATTCTCAATAATTATTTGTCAAACGAAACTACGAAACGATATACGTCATAAATCAATAACAAAATTAAACATAATAAATAATCAATAAATAATATTAAATAATAATTTCAAACATCGACATTTTTACAAAAATCGTTGTCGCCTAGTAATTAAATATATCATCTACTAGGCGACAAAAAGTTTTCTCCGGGCGACATTGCTGTCGCCCAGTATATTAGTTAAAATATCCACTGCCATAGGGTACAGGTTTTTCCCTTTTTATCTATCTTTTCATCGTATATCAGACCATATCTACAATTATTTATCTTTATTTACTTTAGTTTATATAAATAAGTTGTTATTTTATCTATTTGTATACAGTTTGCTCATGCTAACAAACATCCTTAATTTTATATGTCATACTATATTTTAATTGTTGAGCCATAATAGTTTATGACTAAAGGCTAATAGAAAAAAAAATATAATGATACAATTTTGCCTCTTTTTGAGCTAAATATAGACTAGGTATATAAATAGACATTTGGCATTTTCGATTTTTTTTCTATGTATAAATGTCGATAATAAAAATGTTTGCCCGGTCAAAAACCCTGAACATTTAATTAGGTTCCATTTGAGTTGTTCATATACAAATTAATATAGGTATATCAAAAATGCATCTACATGGTAACAATTTAGTATACCTAGTTTAAAATGCATATAATATTTAAACATTATATCTGAGATTTTAAAAAGTAATACAATGTGTCAAGGTCCCTAAACCCTAATAACTATTAAGTTGTAACTAGAATTAAAAAATTAGATTGAGTGTAAATCAACAGATATACTTTTAAGAACGATTGAAGTAAAAACTTGACAAAACTGGATACTCAAATGAAAAATAATGATTTTCTTATTATAAATCAATAACAATTAACAATAATAAATAACCATCACTTCTCGTTTTAACTAAATGTTGGTATTTTACAAAAGATGGTAACATTTTTTTTAAAGTGTTGGCTCTTCTTGATCTATTGATAAACTTAAAAAAAGCTTAAATATCAATAAAATGTTTTTTGCTTGGTAAAAAAAGCTTGCAAATACAATATTCCTCATAACTTGTTATTATTATGGTAATTTTTAAATATTAAAAATACATTGACTAGATTTTTCAAAAGCGTATAAATAATATACTGATCGGCTATCATAGGCAGTGGTATTGGTAAATAAATTTATGGGTATACGGCATACGCACCTAAAAATAGTTGAATATACCTATATATATATATATTATAATATATTATATAGCCATATAGGTATACCTATATATAACTTCTTTAAACAATTTTATCATTACACTTAATATTTAATAATATTTTATTACTTTTTTTTTTTATTATTATATGCCCGTGGCAATATAGGCCATTGAGTGGTTGTGGAACTGTGAGTTTTTATATTGGATAGGTTTGGTACATGTGTGTGTGCTGTGGCAGAATTTCTAGTGGGGCACCCGTAGGTTTCTGTCATGCCCCGGGTGGGGGATGGCGGCACTCGTTCTCCCGACACCGTGACTTGCTCGAAGAAAAATGCCGCCCAGTGGCCGAGAATCGAACCGGCGACGGGCTGCGCCGCAACCGACCCCTTAGACCGCTCGGCCGCCTCGTCCCCCCTTTTATAATTTATTACTTTATTACAAACACTAACCTTTCATGTGTATATATGTATCTGCAGTGGAGTATATAGGGGGGTTCACCCTATATTCATCCCCCACCCCGAAATTAATTTCTATATACGCCACTGTGTGTAATATGTACCAAGTATCAGTATCTAAAGTATAACTTTTTTTATTATCAAACTTAAAAAAAATTGTACAGTAAAATAATGGACTATACTGTCTATACTAATAAAATAATAAACAACTTTAGATAATATAGGTACAGTATTTATAAGTCTTTATTATTTATTAATCTATGTTAATAACATATCAAAATTTAAATATTATTATAAATCATTTTAACGGCAGTTTCCGATCTTCTTCGCAAGAAACCGAAGATGAAATTTAATCGAACTTCATGCGGGTAGAGGACTATTTTTGGACAGTGTACCTACTTAATGTCATAATAAAATATTATTGTATTAGTTTGTTTATGATTATATTTTTTTTCAAATTTTGTTTGGTGATAATATGATTGAATTTTCTGTCATAAATTGGAAGCATGCGTATACCCATAAAAGACTAATTTTTTTAAAGGTATACGCATAAATCCAAAAATAGGGATCCGGGTATACGACGTATACCCGCTTATACCCTCCAATACACCACTGATCATAGGTAATTTAATGATATTAATATTTTTAGGTCTATGTTTTGCATGATAAAAATCCGGTTCAACAAATAAACTATAGAACAAAACGTTCATCGGAACAAGAACAATATATTGTAGAAAATTGTTTATAGGAACAATTGAACAAATTTCTATCAACAAATAGCTGATATAGGTATGTATTGTTTTAAAAATAAAAAATACCTAACAAAGGTAAAATTTCGGAATTTGAAAACTTGAAAAAAAAATTTAGTGATCCCCTTACCGAGTTTACTCACTACTGCATATATGTTATCTATGGCATATTAGCATGTTCTAAGGCAGTAGAGATGGGCAAAATATTTTGTATATCGATGAATTGAAATTTAAACCATCGATTGTTTAGATGTATCGGTTTCTTGGAAAAATCAAAAAACCACGATGTTTTTTAATTCTGTTTCAAGCGTTCAATCATGGGTAAAAAATCAATCATGGGTAACAATTTGCAAATTAAGATTATATTTTTTCTCATAGATTTGAATGGACCTTAGGTACATGTTAGTAAGTACTATGTTTCAAATTAAATATTTTTTTAAAAATAAAAATTCAAGTATTTTAAAGAACAAATAAAAAAAAAACATCGATATTTTTTCTCGATAGGTACCTACATCGAAGACTAAAAATCGATGTTAAAACACGCGATGTATCGAACATTTTCCTCGACGTTTTGTGCACAATTGAAGTGCTCGTCGTGTTGTGTCCTGTTTTTTTACAACATCGAATTTAAAAAAATTTAAATGGAGGGGATAGTGTTTTAATACTTTTATATAAATACAGATTTCAATATTATCCCATGACCACTGAGGTCTACAATGGTAACGTTGGATCACTGTAAATATCCAAAACATCCAAAATAATATGCTGCTGTTGTAGTACCTTCCTGTTTTTAACGAACTCTTATCATTCGTGCTGTGAGCGTAGAGTTGTTGTAAAATGCCGCCGAGGCGCCGAAGGTTTGTTTGTTATCGATCGGTAATCGGTATTTAGATTTCGGTTTATTTATTATTTTTTTTTTATCATAGTATCATAGTTCCACAATGGCGCAATTATAATAATTAATAATTAAAAATATTATAACAATTAACGACGGATTCGAAAATTAAGTAAAACAAACTGTCGAGTGTCGATGCTGTCTACTTTCGATTTCCGAAAATCTACACCGAACGACAGGCGACAGACGACCAACCACCGCCACACATGGCCGAATAGCGTCTGTTGTCGGCGTCAACGCGAATTGTCGAACATTTCACTGTCAACGCCGCCAAGAAATTGAACAAATATGGACTTCGACATCGGAACAGAACTGCTAATCCAATCTCCTGGAAACATATGGTAAGCACCGCTACACGATTTTGACAAAATTCTCTCTTGTTTGTTAATAATTGTTTCAATGCGAAGCTGACTCGACCCAGCGGTTGCATCCGCAAATTCGACACCCACCTCGTCGCGTAGTGTTTTTTATTAATCTCAAACGATGGCCCAATTAATAACATCTGGAATTTTTGGCATTCAATGGTTTTAATTCTTGTAGGGGACCACTCGATGTATCAGAAAACTATCAGTGTGGACAAGTGAATATTAGAAACGGTCGGTTGAGAAATAAACTAAATTGAATAAACAGCGTGTCATTGGAATAAATTGTGTATACTATTACTGTTATAACTTATAAGCTGTACATGATAGGCAATTCAAAACAACCAGAGCTTTATAGGAATTAGAAAATTGATCTGCATCTGGTATTTTGAGTAATTATTGGTATCAGTATAGAACAGCAATGGCAAACCTTTGGGTCTCTGCCCACATTTTGTATTCAGATTTAAAAAAAATTCACATGCCAGTAATATGTAATGTTGATAGTTTGTATCTATATACAATTTTTTCTCAGAGTGATGAGGGTTTTAAAAAAAATCACTGAATACCTATCAGTTTTGTATTTTGTTAGTCTTAGATGCTCTTAATGAAACACAAGCAGCATTAGCTTCATCTAACTATGTATTTATTCCTCTTGTTATGATATGAAATAGTTCTTGTGGAGAATAATCTTTCACATATACATAATATTGGGTTTATTTAGAATGAGCAATTTTTTTTTAAATACAAAATATCATGTCTGGAAGCAGTGAGTTCCAAACTTTTATGATTGGTAACTTATTACAAATAAAGAATTTTTTTTACTAGTTTTTTCATTCTTATTCACTAAATCCAAACTTGAAAAATGAAACAAAAATTGATTACGTGTTCATAATACTTTAACAAGCATTGACTTGTACCTATATATCTTTTCTAAAGTTGTGCCTACAAGAGAAATATATATATATATGATTTTACCAATAATATTTTTATTTATTTTAAGGATTTTACCTTATAAATCAACATTTATCATATACACTTATTTAGGACATATTTATATATCTTCGCTAAGATTATAGTGATAAAAGTGAGACGTAAATATACCTCAGTGGACCAAATTTAATAAATTTTTTCAATTTCTCCTTCCTAATTGGCTCCCTGAGTAACATCTATGTATTCTTAATTTGCTCCTCAAAGGATTATAATTTGGCTAATGTAACGCATTTCATGAAAATTATCTATTCAAGTACATCAATGTAAACCTATTAGCTCTATAAACTACTGCAGAAAAATAAAAATAAATAAATCTCAATTGCTATAAGTTTTATCCTATTTTATACTGGGAGAGGTTAATTTGTTAATATTTAATCTGGTGATTATTCTCATTTATATTTATCTATCAATTATTGTATTGCCTGAATCATAATAAATTATGTACCTAATAAATATTAAGGAATAAAAATAAAATCACATGTACATAAAATAGAAATTTGCTAGACTAAACCGGTTTAAAATTATCCCACATTATCCCGCACCGGGATAATGAACCATGTAAATAATATGGTCCAAACATCCCGGTGCATTATTTTTCACACCGGTTTAGTCTAGCGAATTTCTATAAAATTTAACTAAAAGTTATAATGATATTATACAATGTCAATTTAATTTTTCGAAAAAGGATTTATTAGGTTAATTAGGTAAATTACATTTACCTAATGAAAACTATTTATTGATGTGGAATACTAATTGTTTTTTTTTTTTTTTAAATATTTATTAAATTTAGTTTTCAGAAAAAAAAAATTGTTAGTATGTCGTATTTTACATCCCTTAACTATTTTTTTTTGAAATGGTTTATTTTAATTGTATTATGTGATTTAATAAAATAGTTTAACATATTATCATAATATTGTAATTGTATACTTAATATGTACTTTTAAAATATAGTTGCATAAAAAAATGTATTGGTAATTACAAATTAATTAAGTTAATTATTTATTTATTTTAGGACACCAGCTTTTGTAGAAGAGGACGATGGTGATGAAATATTTATATGTTATAAAGAAGGTAATGGAGCAAATGAATGGATTAACAAAGACAGTCATAGAATTAAACCTATGACTGAAGAATGGGATGACAAATTGATAAAAATTCCTACGTAAGAATAAATTATTATTACTTTTTTTTTTTTAAATTATTGTTAGTTCATTTTTACATTTTAGCCATTCTGAAAATATCTTACCTGACATAAAACCAATAATTCCTAATGTTCCACCATCTGAAAAAGAAATTTCAAAAAAATCTACTACAAGTGCACGATCATCTAGTATATTTAAAGTGAAGTTTAAAAAAGATGATTTTTTGACAAAAAAAACTCAAGGTAAGAAAATTTTATTTATTATACTGCTGAATATTCTTAGTTTAAATTAAATACCTAGTTATAATTTCACTGTTTAATTAAAAAAATATTATATAACACTAAAATTGAACTTGGAATTTTATATTTGCCCTGTGAAATTGCCTGTCGGGCATAAATTACAAAAATAAATAAATAATTTAAAATTACCCGAAACTATTGCGTTTATTAAGAGCGCGCTTCACCCACATGTATTGTCTCTGTCTTAAAAATGCTAAACTTTACTAGCAAATTTTACTTTCTGAATAATCTATTTAACTATTATGATTAATATTGGAGCAATTGGCCGATTCAAGCCCGGATTAAAGGAGGGGCCAAGGGGGGCACGGTCCCGGGCCCGTTGTTTTTGGGAGCCCATCTTTATCCCCAAAATATATTTTTTTAAAGAGTCCAATGGCTTAAAAAAAAAATTATTTTAGTATGTAGGTATAGAAGGTAAATTATTATTAACACGTTAACGGACATGACTGCTAATGCAGTTATGCAAATTACTGTAATTCGGTAATCACTCTGATTGGGCATAATCCATAGATTTTTATATATTTTTAGAATATTTGATTTTTTTTTGCCCGAATTGTTAGTAAGTCACAATAGGACACTAGATAATTTCCAATGTGGTGAAGCCACAAGAAACGCAACTGCTCTAGCAGTCATGCCATTTTACGACTTTTAATATAAAACTGCTATACCAGTCATGGTCATATTACGACTTAAATCAGTATGACTGCTTTATAGTCTTTAGTTACTTTAGTTACTTTAGTTCTCAATTTTATATCACTAAAAATGATTATAATTAATAATGAACCATGTTTGCCTAAAATTTTGTTTGTTTTTTTGAACATTTTAGATTACCGATTTAACTATTTAACTTTTAAATTTTAAGTTTATAAAAAGGTAGTTAAAAAAAAAATATTTAGCTCTTGTAAATTAGGTATTTCAGTTAAAAGTTATATTAATGCATATTATAGGTACTAAACTTTAGAGGACCATAGTTAATAACCCAGCAAACCAAAATAAAGTCGATTTTAATATTGGTACAACTGTTTGTTTAAAAATTTTGAAAATATTATAAGAAAATTGCCTGTTAAAAATAAAGAAACACGTATCTTTTTTTGTTTTAACGTAATTCCATATCATCGATCCATAATTGTTAAAAAAAACCCGCTTAAAATGACATAAGATACACCTGTATATTTTTTGTATATAGTAAAAAATTATACAATAATATAAAGTCGTTAATATGTAATAATACAATTATTTTGAAGTTTAAGTTGAAAGGGGGGCCCACTAAGTGTATGGTGTCCCGGGGCCCAATTGGTCCTTAATCCGGGCTTGGGCCGATTATCAAATTTAAAAGTAAGATTATTAACTAGTGAACGTCATATGTTTTTTTTAAAATACTTATATCTTGCTTTAAAATAAAAATATAAAAAAAACTCTTGTAGGTTCACTAGATAATATTGTCACTTCTAAAGTTGATAATAGGTCAATTCGCTCCAATATTAATCATAACAGAGTTGAATTGATTATTCAGAACGTACAATTGGCCATGTTACGCATTTGTAAGATGGAAACAGTGCATGCGGGTATAGCATTCTCTTGAGTTTAATTTAGTTATAACTAAAATTATATGTTCCTTGACAATGATGGTTTGTAAAATATATTTTGGAAGGAGACTTTTAAATTTAGAGTTCATTCAAACCAGTGTCGTCAATGTAGGGACGGATCCAGACCTACAATCCAGGGGTTGGAAACATTCATTTGAATGTACGCTACTCAAATATTTAACTTGTACATTTTTAAATATTATGTAACTATATAAGATTCACAAGTTACATCACTTGATACTGTTAAATTATCATTAAAATATGTTAAATATTAAAAAAAATGAATACATTTAACAAAAGTATTATCATAATTATAATTTTCTCTTATTTGTATAATATAATATACTTTATTTATTAAAAATAAATTGAATCAAGTTGTTATTTACAATCACAATTCCTAATTGCACACACTTGGCTGAATAATATATGTCATATATTATAGATATCCCACTGTTGTTTAGTTTTTAATTTTGGTTGTACCATCAAGTACGAAATGCATAAATATAGATTTTAATATTTTACATACATTTTTAAATTTGTTTTATTACCCATATAATTAAATATTTCTTTAAAAAAATGTGGAATTATGTATGTCTGCTGTGACCCCTGAATCACACCCCCCCCCCCTCCCCATTGCCTTTCCTAAATACGTTTCTTTATCAAACACTAGAGATTTGTTGAGGCAGTGATATAAATTAGATAAGTTATCATGCGGCATGCATATTGTTGTCGTGTTTTTAATGTTGGTTAAAAATGAAAAAAGACCATAATATGTAGGATTTTAGCACATAAAATAAAAGGTTTACAATAAAAATACGCAATGAAATCTTTTCAAAATAAAATAACTTTATTATGTAGGTAATTACTAATTATGTATATTTTAATATCCTCTATACAATTAAAACCTCTAATAAAAAGAACGATCATTCAGATGAAATAATTTATGTTACCTTAAAAGTTGAACACATGGATACAGAATATGATATAGAATACTTTTATAATTGCATCCTTCACTTACTTACATATATTTGAGAATAAAACTAAAATTATATTATGTAAATTAATTAAATTGTTAAAATATATTAATGTTTTAACTGGTGTTTGAAAAAATTATCATATCCCTTTCACTTTGTGTATGGTAAAGTAAAAGCAACAAGGTATCTATCAAGAAAAAAAAATTACTTATATGGAAAAAATAATAAATAACATGAACTATAATTCCCACTATATTTCCCCACTTTTGTGCCATGTTACAAACAATCAAATTTCACAACTTTACTTATATGTATTCACTGTCAATGAATGTAGGCAATAGAAACATCTTCAAATTAAATGTACTCTTGTTATATTTTTATTTGTTTATAAGAACATTCTGCTCAATTTTAAATTAAAATTTATAACACTGTTTTTATTTCATATTTATGTGATATTCTATTAGTTATCAATTGTTAAGTTAGTTTTAGTTATTCATCAAATTCTGTTGCAACTGCTAATTTGATATTTCCATTAAGACTAAAATTAAATTCCATTGTTCACAATAGTGGCCATAACTGAATGCTAGCTAAGCTATTAAGTTAAAATAATTTATAATAGTTTAGTTACAGTATTTGTCTCACTATTAATAGGCTATTGAAAAAAGGTAGGTCAGTGACCTCCATCTGAATGCCTACGCATGTAAGTTTCCTTAATGAATGTTTGTATAGTCCTGGTTAGAATCTCTTATTAAATTATTAAATACTATAATGACTTATTATAAACATTATATTTAATGATTCAAATTCTTTGATACATCGTAAAAACTTAGTTTAAATGATAACACGAGTGATAACATATGTGAACATAAACATTAACTATACAATTCTTCTACAATAAATAAATTCTCAATTTCATGGGCTTGATTAAATTTAAAATATTCATTTTATTTAATTACTTCACAATAAATGATAGTCTTTTATTTTTTTGTTTATAAAACAGTTATTTAATGTATAATCATACCCACTATTTTTTTTATTGTTTTTATTTTTTGTGAATCGTTAATCCAAAATATTTATTTTTTATTATCATATATACATTTGAAATTTTAATCATGTAATTTTATTCATAGATTCTAAACATAAAGAACAAAAAATAATAAAGGATGCTAAGAAATCAGATCGTGAGTCAAAACAACTTTTATTGTGTGGCCCTCCTGTAAGTGTTATTTATTTTCTATTTGTATTTATTTGTTAAGTACATGCCAAGATGGCAACTGACAATAAGGCTAAGGAAAGTTATAGGTTTTTTTTTTTTAATTTATCAGTAACAATTTGTTTACTTTTTATTTGAAATGTTGTAATTTTACAGTGCTTACAAACTATTGGTATATTAATTATAATATAGATTAGAGATGAAAAATACTGTGATTAATCCTTATCAGATATTGTATCTTTTTAAATAGTGTATTTCATTGAAAAACAAATGTAGGTCTACTTTGTATAATTATATTAAAATTGAACTTCTGTTTGTTAATTTATTCTTTTTTAATACATTGATACAAATATTTAAAAAACATTATTTTGGTCAAAATTATTATTATAATATCATGTCTTTAGAGTAACGAAAAACATTCTACCAGCACAATATTAAAACAATCACACATTATAGAAAATTCAGGAATGGAAGTTATAAAAGGTATTTAAACAAATAACTATAATTAAACAACTTTTTTAATTCTTTTTTTTTTTTAATTAATACAGTTGCAGAAAGTATTAATTCTTCAAAAACCCCGAACGATTTGATAGAAACCAATTTATTGAGATCCGAAAATTTTGAAGAACTATTGGAAGATATTGAAGCAGAGGCAGAAATATGTTCCCCAACAAAATCTATTTCTCGTAGTGATATAAAACAAAAGAAAAGAAGTGAGGATAATGTTTAGCACAATGAATACATTTGTGTTACATAACCTAATTTATTTTCTATTATCGCAGAGAAAAAACCATTTGGTATAAAAAGACGATCTGATAAAAAAAAATCAAAATCAAAGAGAAGTGAAAGTAAAAAAAAAAAATTAGTTGTTAAATTAAATTCAAATAATGTTAAGTAAGTATATAAATATAAATTAATTTTATATCTTGTTTTATTAAAAATGTATTTATTACTTTTAAGAACCAAAGTTAGTACGACAGTGCCAGATAACAGCACATTGAGTTATACAGATGATACAGCAACATCACCACCATCTTCAAAAAAAATGAAACCATCTATTCCTGAAATTAGCTCACAAGAAAATTCAATACCTCAAATCTGTTCAATACCTCAAAGTTGTTCAATACCTCAAAGCTGTTCAATACCTCAAAGCTGTTCCCCATTATTCCAAGAACTAGCTAACAATACTCTACTACAAAAAAGTATGCAATCATTAATTTTCAATGTTACACGTTTCTAAAAAAAAATTATTTTCATTAACTTGTAAATTTGTCAAAAAGACTCGAAAAATACTTATTACTTATTAGTATTGATTATTTGTTTCTCACATTTATAAAAATTTCAGTAAGAATGGAAGCTTCCAATGAACAAGGGTTAAGATGTCCAAAACAAGAATGTCGAAAACTTTTTCGAAAAGAAAATTTGTTAATGGTTAGTCTCAATAAATTTCTACTGTTTTCTACAATTAATATAATTAATTGTAATAATATATTATTTTTATTTAAGATGCACATTAAACACTATCATTCCGAATACACTGAATTTTTGGTGTCTACTCCAAATGTAACAGATCTCGCAACAGCAAGAATCGAAGGTGAAAATATTGATGAATTATCTCCGTCATATTTTCTTCATAAAATATCTCAATTGGAAGCTAAAAGAAGCTGGGGGGGCAATACGTCTTATGAAACACCTTCACCAAGCATAATTTCTTCATCATTAAAATTGACTGAGTTAGTATTTACCTATTTATTTATTTAAAATACCATGTGTTATGGTAAAATATAATTTTTTATACGGAATGAGCATTATATTTAATGTCTTACAAAACATTTTACAGACAGGAAATTTGTAGTAATACCTCTCTCAATTCTGAAAATTATAACACATCTTTCACATCCAATGACCAACCAAACAATATAACTCAAGCTTACGATTCTAAGTAATGTTTATTATTAAATTATAGATGTATTTATAAGTATACATATTTCATTAAATTTTCAGGGATTCTGGATTTTCCGGTATAGTAGAATCATTCAGCTCAATAACCGAGACACCAGTTAAAGAATATGCTCAAATAAAAGAAGCTATTAGAAATATAACGTTAGTGGATGATTTTGAAAATGAAACTAGAGGTAAAAAATCTTCTTTATAATCTAGATACTTCATAATCTAGATTGTATACATTTTTTTAGTATAATATTTTTAATGTTATTTGATTCCAGACAGTTATGATATGATAAGTATAGGAGGCTCAGACCGGCATTTTAAAATTAAAAAAAATAAATCTGAAGTTGAAACTTTACCAAAAGAAGAGGTGATCAATTGTTCATGTGCTTCAAATCAAGAAGACGGTTTAATGATTCAAGTAAGTCTCAATCATTTTTGTTTAAAATGTATTATCTAATTATACAATTGTTTAAAAATTGTCATTATTTTGATATTGTTTAATATTAATTCATACAGATCTTTTTACTTACACAACTGCATAAAATTGCCTAATAATATTGTTGATATTTAAAACTACTATAGTCTTTTTTTCTCACTTGTGTACATCTCAATTTTGCTTTTATTCTAGTGTGATGTTTGCTTATGCTGGCAACATGGTTATTGTAACAAAATCGAATCTGAAGATCAAGTACCCGACCACTATACTTGTATTAGTTGTTTAAATCCTTTGAAGCAAAGACGATCAAAACAATATGATTATTCACAAGATTGGATTAAAGAAGGAACATTAGCCAGGTTTGTTATAATTTTATACTAAACATTATGATCAATTAAATCAATTTTGTATATCATTTATAGTGTCTTACAACATAAAGATGAGCGACGGAGAAAAGATGAAGCTATTTTAAAACAATCTCATCAGTTAGTAGCTGAGGTCTTAGAACACAGTAATTATTTGCACAGTTTACGAGTTAAAACTACAGTTTATGGGTAAGCTAATCTTTTTACGTTTTTTAGTTAAAATAATGTGGGCAAGATAGCTAAGATTCACAATAATTTAATCGTTCTTAATTCTTTTTTTTATAGTCAAACCCCTGATCATCCTAAACTTTATTTGTGGTCTGAACAAGGTTTAACAAGAAATGAAGAACCTATTCATGATAAGCTTGAAGAATGTAAATTCACTAAATATTATTTTTACACTTAAAAGTTTATTTTAACGTGCTTTTAATATTAAATGTTTGATCAATGATGTTTCAGTGCTTTCTGGTCCAGTACCTGAAAAACCAATCAATATTTCTGACTGTAGACAAAATTTACTGGATGAAATTGAAGATGGCTTTGACAATTTAGAAGCCAGAATCAATTTATTTGAAGCCAAAACTAATGGTAGGTTTTCTTTGTTAAAATTCACTCATTATTTAAGTTTTTACTGGAGTCTAACAATTTACAATTCATTATTATTATAAAGGACTTGAAGATCAAGTTAATGGCTGCGTAGATAATGAAGTCTTAACAAATACCGTTACTTTGTTGCTACGAGACTTAAGTTCAATCAACCATCATATGTCATTTGAAAACAATAACAATAACAAAGAAGAAGAAACCGTTTAAAAAAAATTGTAGCTTACGTGGATTCAGTTAGTCATATTATATACCATGGTCACAATAAAGTAACTTGAAATTCGAGATAAATCCTTAATGTATCATACATAATATTAAATTTTTTATTGAGATTTTTTGAAGGTAATAATTGTTTGACAAAGGTTCTGCTTTTAATTTGTGTTTTGTAGTTGTATTAATACAATTTCATATGTTAAAACTGCTCCAGCAACCTGAAACGAAAATTAAAAATACCATATGTGATGAACTTGTAAATTAAATTTTTTTTCAAATTTATCTTACCCCCAAAAGAAAGTTTCTTGTAATTGAAAACATTTTTAATCCTGTTAACGCAACATAATCTGATGTGACTTCTTGTAAAAATCTTTGTGTCTTAAAAATAAAACGATAAAGTAATTTATTTAAATTTAAATATTTTTTATTGTATTATATACAGAATTATTTGTAATTTTTGAATATTTATAAGTAAACAATAAATGTTATGAATTGATTAAAAACTGACTATAGTTTTGTATGCTTAAGCCTCTAACACAATTTTTTTTTAGAACAAAATATTTTTACTTTTTAGTACTATTTTAGATCTTCCTACATTCTGTAGACTAATTGATTTGTAGCACAATATATTTATGGGCCAAGATATATTTGCTAAATATATATATTTTTATGATAGATTACTTAGTTGCCAATTAAGTTTGTATTGTTCCTACAGAAATAAAATAACATTGAAAATATTTATTACTTATAAATTATTATTATTGTTAATTAAGTGAACGCCATACCCATATTTGTTGTCTCTGTCTTACAAATGTGCAACATAGCAAATGTTACCTACATTCACAATAATCTAAATAATCCATTTTGGTTTATCATTTTTAAAATTAGAGTGAATGCGCCTGTTATACAATGTAAAATTGTAATGATAAGATTATTGCATGGCATTTTATTGATATTTTAAATGTGAAGCAAGTGATCATTTTAAAATGTACATAACTTCCTTCATAATGAGAATATGAATAAAAGCTTCAGAGATGCCATAGATAATAATTGTACCTAAAAATTATACAAAAGGTCGCTCTAATTTTAAAATTACAGTTTAAATATAGATTATTGAGAACGCAAAATTGTAAGTACCTGTTGAGACTGAGACAACACATCGTGAGTGGCGTCTTCTTAATAGTTTGTTTTATTTTATACTTAATCCGTTATTGTGTACCTATAAAATAATTTATGAAAACCACAAACCAAACTATTTTAGTAAAACAGAAATATTGTTACAACATTACTATGAGAACAGCGTCTTGTAGAAGCAAGTTTATTTTGTTTATGATAATTATTAAGTTTGATTAGTGATAATTGGATAATGTATTTATTATCTATAGACTATATAGTAGGCATAGACCTATCAAAGAATTTTAGGTACCTGTACCTATCTGCACCTGTAATCTGTATTGTGAAAAATAAGCATACTTTTGAATACGGAAGTAGATGTTCTTAGGCTTGAATTTAATACACAATTAAAAAATAATGAAAGTAAATTATGAAGGGGATTGGTGGCGATGAGTTATACAATATTTATATATAAAATATGTATATAAAAATTAAATAAATAGAAGTAAATTGTTAAACTGTACATTAAAATGTTTTATATTAGTTACTTTAGGTATCATTAAAAAAAAATATTTGATGATATCAATACATTCTATCCAGGCAGGGGCGGCTCCAGTGACATTGTTAGGGGGGGAGTCATAATTTTCGGAAAAATTCCATTATTTTTTTGTAATTTCTTTTTTAACAGTATAAATACACCTTGGGGGTGGCCCTTAGCCCCCTTTGAGCCGCCCTCGTACCCAGGCATGTTGTTCAGTTGATAACTAATTTAAATATTGATAATGAAGAGCGTGTTAAAGTCATACTTCAATGCTATAACTATGCGTCGGACACATGAAAATTTCTGGCACAATTTTTTTACTCTCGTCGTTTATGGCGGACGCTTGCATCACGACTGCTGTGGTCCGAAACACCAAAAACATGAATGAGTACATGTAGAACAGCGTTCTGAAGTAGCTGTGTTTGATGGAACTGGTGACAATAATGATAAATGATTAGTGTGTTAGACTGATTCGATTTTAAACCATGCTTTTCATATTTTACATGCACGATGATTATTTAATCATGCTGGTCCGAGTCGTCCAATTTAAATGTTGAGTTAAGAGAATGAGCGGCTAAAAGTCCATTATCCGTATGCATAGTAAATTGATGTGACACAAAAATTGACTATTCATACGTGCACGTGATTTGTTGTGTAAACCGTTTTGACTGATTGTCAAACTTAAAGTTAAGAATATTATCTGTGTTCTTTCGTTTTTTTCCCCTTTACGATTTTTACCATACCAATTTCAAGTTTTGCATAAGCAAGTTATGAGTGATGCATTTTAAATGCTACAGTTAAAAATTTCTCATATCTTGCATTGAAATATGAATATCAAAAAACAATCCAACGTAAGAGTTTAACACAGTTAAAGTTCTTAACGACTTAACGTTAAACATTAAACTTTAGACTTCACTCTACTACTTAAGATTGGTTCTACGCTGAACGCAAATTTGCTATGTGTCTATGCTGAGTGTGGGTCAGATAGAGAGAGAGCAAACTCGCCGACATCCTTTTTTAAGAGAAATTTCAAAGTGCAAGACGGTAAATTGTTTTTTTTTTAAGTTACATGTCGTTTCAAAATGTTGAAATGGTCGTTATTTTTAAACAATATATTGAGTGTTCGGAATAATGAAAAAAACGCACAGTCTTGCTCAATCCCGGATTATGGTGGGTGGGGGGCACGGTCCCGGGGCCCATTCATTTTGGGGGCCATCTTTATCCCCAAAATATATTTTTTTTAACGCGTCCAATAGTTTAAAAAAGGGGGGCGAGGTGGCCGAGCGGTCTAAGGCGTCGGTTGCGACGCTGCCGACGCCCGATCGATTCCCGGCCACTGGGCGGCATTTTCTTCGGGCAGGTCACGGTGTCCAGAGAACAAGTGCCACCAACCCCCACTCGGGCATGGCAGATAGTGCCCAAATTGAAAATTCTGCCAAAAACCCAACACACACGTGTTCCCTCCCTACCGAAAATACAACGTTCAAAAACACCATACAGCTAATGGCCATAGTTGCCGGGCTTACGGACAATTAAAAAAAAAAAAAAAAAATATATTATTTAAGTAGGTAAATTATTATTAATAATTATAAAATAAAATTGTTCTCCATTTTTATCACGAAAAATTACTATAAATAATGAACTGTTTGACAGTAATTTTGTTTGTTTTTTTTTTTTTTGATTATTGTAGATTACCAATTTAACTATTTAAGTAGCCAAGTAGGTATACAAAAAATTTAACTATAAGAAAAATATATTTAGCTCTTGTAAATTAGGTATTTTAATTAAAAGTATTAATGTATATTAAACTAAACTTTATAGAGGACCATAGTTAATAACCTAGCGAACCAAAAGATTCATAGTTGTTAAAAAAAACCCGCGTACAAATGACATATGATACACATAAACCCTGTATATTTTTTGTATAGTAAAAAATTATACAATAATATAAAGTCGTTAATATGCAGGGCTAGGATTTATATGCAACAGCATGTTTTTTTTGCGACTTCTGATTATTGATTTTGTCAGTAATGTCCACGAATCACCTCATGATGAAATAAATGGTGGTATTTTTATTTTGCATGTTTTTGCATTTTTTGGATGAAATGAATATGAATATGAATATGAATGAAAATGAATATTATTGCATATTTTGATTATAAGAATGCGAAAAATCCATGTTTTATAGTATATTTCATAAAACTTGATTTTTTTGTCAAACATAAATTTTATTTTTATAAATACAATCCTATGGTACAATAGGTATGCAATAAAAGATCGAATAGTTTGACATTCATTTTCGAAAATTTAAAAAAATAGGTGGTCGTAACTTGTAGCATGTAGCACACGTAATAAATGTGAGTTACAAATTATTATTTTTTTTTCTCAATTATAATATATTAAGACAAATAGCCAATCACTGATGTATTTAAACAAAATAACTATTTTTTTAAAACTATTTTTTTGTGTTTATCTTATAAAAATTTAAATGCATATTTTTGCATATTTTTGGTAAATAAAATTCATATTTTACCATTTATAATTGCATACAAATCCCTAGCCCTGTTAATATGTAATGATAGAATTATTTTGAAGTTAAAGTTGTAAGTGGGTCCACCAAGTGTATGGTGCCCTGGGGCCCAATTGATCTTTAATCCGGACTTGGTCTTGCTCTTTGAAATATTGTCATATTTTCATTTCAAAATACCTAGGTATTTTTACTCGAGAACCCAAATTGAGAGAGTTTTATACTTTCTACTCAGACAGTCGACTGCGTAAACGCGTTTTATCGGTGTTGGATGAGAGAGGGAAAACAAACAGTGCGCTGACATTAGTGACATTATTCTCTCGAGGACGTCGTAGCCGAAAATTGTGTTGTCTCCATCCTATACATATTACATTTCAGAAGAATCCATTTTACTCTGTTATTTTTAATTATATTAGTATGAATTTATTGTAAGAATATTATCCGGACTCCGGAGCCCCGTGGGGGTTCTTAAGTTTCTTTTATATTTTAATTTTGAGGCAAGTAAAATGCTTAATATAACTTACTTCAGAATTAAAATATCAAAAAAAAACCTACGTTGAATCTATAGTCTTTAGTACCTAGGTATTATATAAGCATTGAAATGGGGCGAGTCTCGAATATATGCTTATAAAATCACAGTGTATTTATGTTGCATGCGTATAACAACAATCAGTGCCGCAACCAGGGGGGGGATTAAGGGGTTGTACCCCTCCCCCGCCAAAATTTTTTTCTAGTTGCGCCACTGACAACAATATATTAATAGTCTCACTCGATTTCCGTAATGAGCTGAGCGCAAATGAAATAAATGTTGCTGCC